CAGATCTGATCACACCACTCCTGACTCTCACACCTGTGGAAATCTCACTCTATCCAGCCAGAAAGGCTCTTCCATCTTGTCTCCCTGACCACCTGCCATAATCAGAAGCAGGGTGAGGTAATGCAATGTTTTTAAAACCCTCCTTGTCAACAGCAGCTTCAGTTTGGCCTCCAGAGAAAGACTGAAATATAGTGAAATAAAGCAACTTCACTGTCTCCTGATTATGAATACTTTTTCGTGATTTCTCAAATTCTTTCATATAGATTGAATATGAATTTTTAAAAATACTGGCTATTTTGATATGTTAATTTTGTGTGAATATTTAGTATGTATTTTTGTTGATTTAACCAGTTTCAGTTACCTTACATTATACATATCTGTTCTTTTTTTCTCCCCACGGAGCTGAAAAATGCATTTTTTAACCTTAGATACATTTTTTTGTTTGGCTTTTTTCTCCAGTGTTATTTATCATGTCTTTATAGGGTATTTTGACATTTTTGTGACTTTAATACCGTCAGCTTGGGGTTTACAGTAAGGCTGTTTTATTGCTAGTCTTTCAAGCCAATCTGTTTGGCAAGCTGAGTGACATAATCACTCTGAGTGACACGTGGATATAACCAAAGAGACCAGCTTTAAATTCAGCCCCCACAGTCATCCAAACTTAGTGGACCAGCTGCACATAGCCTAAACATCAGTGTTTGCAGGAGCTTGCAGTTGTATTTTCAACCACAGAAAAAGCCTGCAAGTGCCAAGAAAGAGCATTTTGTGAAGGGAGTTCCTCAGCAGCGTCTTTGCTGCTGCATATAGAGACCCAGTTCCAGATCAAGACCCTGTCACGCAGTGCAGAGACAGAGAACGGGCCGTGCCCCTAAGTGTTGAATATTAAAGTTCATAAACTTTTTTTTATATTTAAAAATGTTCATCAACACTCAGTGATCTTCTGAATATTGAAGACTCACAGGTAGTAATAAGGCTAAAATGACATTTGTCTATCAGTTGTATCAATATTTGAAGAGTCCCATCCAGCACTATTTAAAATCAGAGCCCACTGAGTGGACTTGTGTTGGTATGCTTGCGTATAATAACAACTAGTCATTGCACTTAAAGATGACACTTATTTAAGATATTAGGTACTTTAAACAAAATTTATTAGTTATAGTCAAAGTATGGTAGTTATATTATTAATCATACAGTTATTAGAATAACAACTCAGTCTCTGCTCTTCAGCAGATCTGTGTTGGTTTTTCAGCTATGATTACAGATGCTGTGATAGCATTTCTTGACGTGTCTGGAAGACAAAGGAGAAAAGTTTAAAACTTGAGAGACACATGTGATTTGCACAGCAGGTAAGATTCCCTGGCTTTTGATCCCTTGCATTAATTAATTAATGTGGTTTGTCGTTGTGGCACCTGCCCTAAGCAGTACTGCCAGAAGTGGGAAGACTGAAAGTTGTGATGAATCCTTCCTGCTGGGAAGTGCTGGGCAGAGGATAGAAAAAGCCTCCCCATAGATCTTACGTGGGTCGGTAGCTCAAATAAAGTACAATCGGGTGTGACTAATTTGGTGGGCCCGTGACTGAAGTGAGCATGAAATACTTGCCATTGGATGTGCTGTTCTGGGAGGCCAGCCTGCTCCTGTCTTTGGCTGCAATCCTTTAAAGAGTTTTGGTCTCCTGAGCAAAAATAAATATTTATTTAAGTGTAGTTTGGACAACTTTTTTTCCAAAATGTGAAAGTTTTCAAAAATTTTCAGTGTCTGGAAAGAGCTAATGATCATGGAAAATTCAGGGCAACCTTAGCTTTTGGAATGAAGACATAATATTATCATTAATTTAATTATTTCCGTCCTACTTTTGAAATCTTGGTTTAAGACAATTAACTTATCAATCATTCATTTCTCAGACATTCAAACAGAGAAGCAAAATGCTCCAGAAACAAAAGTATATTTGCAGGGAAATATACTTTAACTTTCAGTAGATGATGCTGCCTCCCTCAAAATGAGAAATGAAGTCTTTTCCATCGCTGCTGGTTGTGCTGTAATTTCATGGGCTCTCATCATAATCCTGTTCCTGTGTTTTACAAATCAGTAATGAGAATTAGGTGGCAAAGAACAAGAGATCAAACCCAGCAAGGCAGATGACAGTTTTCCAGCTGACTGAAATCAAGCCGGTAAGTCATCCAAAGGCAAACGTGAGTGTAATGAGGCCAATCATCTGATTATAAAGCCAGAGCTTCACACTGAAGGCTCTCATCAGTCCTGCTGGCTAAGTTATCTGGCAGCTGTTTACCGAGCTAAAAGGCAGTCCATAAAAATAACCAAACCTATCATTTAAAGGGTGATGACATTGGACTCTCTGGATTCACAGTAAGCACCTTGATGGTGGCTTCCTGAAAAGATGAATGTTTTTAAATGTTAAGAAACAACATTTAAAATCAAGTTTCCTCGCCCAGAAACAGCTAGCCCTTAGCATTGCTATTCCTTCCCTTGGTAAGGTTCTACAGAAGTTGGAGGACCTCCTCATCGCCCTGCAACATAGATCACACACAAGAAAAAGGTATAAACCAGAATCTTGAACTTGAAGAGCCCACGTTTCCAAGTCAAAACAGAATATCTGTGGCCTTTTTAAAATTCTGCCGGCTTTAAAAAGTAGAAAAGAAAATATGTAGTAAGCAAAGGATAAAATACCATTCTTGTCTTACCCCTATTGTCTAGAAAGAGATTATGTGATTTCGTGGAGTGAATGAACATAAGTAACTGGTTTATAAATAGTTTATTAATTGCAGCAATGATTAATAAGAAATAAATCAACTGCCTAATGGCAGAAAGTCAACTCTGTAACTAGCTCATGTGTTTCAGTTTTTGAAGATCCCAGTCTTCTGCTGAGGCTAGTAAAATCCTTTATAAGAAAAAAACCCCAAAAACATTCCTCTGAAGGATACTGAAGGGTACAAGAGAAAACAATGCTAACTGAAGTTGAATCCTGAAAAGCAAGACAGTAAGTGTTTGCTATTTATATCATATTGCTAATAATTTACATTGGGATAAATTTTTTTAATTACTATTTTTAGAGAGGATAAAAATGCTTAGTTATAAAATACATTATGATGTCATAAAATCTATTATGATGTGACACTTACTGGAAATTATGAGACAACATTGTACAGGAGATGGTACATTCTTTGTAAGTGAATAAGAACTAGCCTAAAGAAATACCTGCCTTAATCATACACTTCTTGTTCAGCTGAAAACAGCCTGAAGGACTCCTAACAGGGGCAAACAGATGTTCATTATACTTACTGTCAAGGAAACTATTTTGATGCACTGCTTTGTTTTATCTAAAAAATGCTGTTTTGAGTCTACCAAAACTGCTTGTAAGCCTGTGCCACGTTCATCAGACTACACAATACATGTCAACACAATACATGGAGACAGTGACTGGCTGTGTCGGTGTCTTCTGCGTGTGTCCGTGTGTGTGTCTCTGGGATACACGCTCAGCTTCACCACGGCTTGAACCTGCAAAGGGGAAAGCAGCAGCCTTGTCCCTCAGCCTGGGGTTCCCAGAAATTCCCATGAAATGCATGAAGTCACAGCATACAATAAAACCGTGCTTTTAAGCTGTAGGGCTTTGTTTACCTGCAGATTTCCTGGTGGCTGAATTGTGGGAAACAAGGGGGAAAACAAAACCAAAATAAACCGAACATTTCTCAGAGGAGATGAACAACTGAAATGGGTGCTAGCACGATAGTTAAAGAAATAAAAAACGTGAAATAAATCGAATGGGCAAATTATGTTCTCAGATGCCTACATATTCAGATGTACTACTGTAAACTCGTCTATGTGAACAGGTATATATTGTACCCTACAATGAAAAGCAGTACCTGCTGGGCCACTTTAATAGGAACAACTATTTTAACACAAAGAAGGAAAGAATTGAATTTACAGCAGCAAAGGAGATAGATCTAAGTAAATCTAACTATTTGGTGGGATGAAAGTTTAACCTGTGAAGCAAAAAAACCCCTTAATTCTACATTTCTTTTTTTAATAGTAAATTGGAGTTTGTTTGTTTTCATAATTAGTATTGGGCATCTTTCAAAGAGTCTTTTCTGAACCTACTACTTGTTAGCAGGAACCAATTATGACTGAGGTATGGGCAGCAAGGTAACTCGTGCAGTCCTGTGCCCAAATGACTGAACTGGTTATCAGTGTGGCACTTCTGTGACCATCAGTGCCACTATGGCCTGGCCAGTGCTGCTTAGGGAGCTGGGTGCAATGGGAGATTTGGAAAGGGAAAAGCCTTTCCCTTTTGTGTGTTGCCATCCAAAGAGGCTGACTCCAACCAGACGAGTCCCATCCTTCTCAGAAAGCACAGACAGCTGTTACCCAGCTTGTCACGTTTCCAAGCTTTATGCCTCACCCGGGCAATTTCTCCCGATCCAGAAGCCCCAGGCTAATCAGCTGCCGTCTTCACTGCTGCTGGAGAGACTAGCTACAAGGAAAGAAGAAAGCTACTTTTAAAGGAGATTCTATGAGGAACTGCGGGCAAAATTATTTTTGAATTATTTTGGAAGCAGTAGTCTGCAAAAATTTATTATAGGGGTATCTTATGCATTGCCAGTAAGGATAACAAAATTAAGGGAGACCTCAGTCCAGGAATCACTTAGAAATTCAGAACAAAAAACCAAAGCAAAGCTTCAAAGTATACATTCACATAAACAACAAAACATAAGTTATATCATTACTTGTACAGCTCTAATCTTGGCCTGCTTCGGTGCATTTGAATTATTCGTTCAATTGTCAGCAGATGCAAGTTAAAACATGTTCTTCAGATCATTCTGTCTGGATCCCTCCCTGAGAGTGTCTAGCCTAAAGCCACCTTTACCAAATACTGTGCCATTCGCTGGAACAACTCTCAAATAAAGGCTCCACTAAACCAAATAAACAACCCACCAATCAACACCCCCAAAGAAAACACTCTTGATCTGAAAATATTTTTGAGGAAGTAACTTTGGTTCTTTTCTTTATAGGTCGATAAGTTTATTATCACCTTCCTTATCACACCAACAGAATGGGAACGTCCCGCAGCACGGCTGCAGCCATGGCTTCCACACAACATTGTACAAGGAGAGCTGCTCTGGGACTGGAGTCAGTGTCCTGCGATGCTCTTCTATGGCTCTTCCAATCTTCCTTATTACAGTGTCAAAGAGGGGCTCGGTGTCAGCCGTCAGGGGTTTGGCTTCAGAGGGGTCTCGCGAGAGATCAAACAGCAACGGAGGGTCATGATGGGTCACGCCTTCCCCAAAACATGGGCAAAATCCTCTATCATAACAAGCCCCAGCCCCAGGTGGATGGAAGACAGGGGTCACATAATGAGCCTTCCAGATTGCTCCACCTGGCAGGAAGGAAAGAAGGCTTGCAATGACACTGGTGGTTATCACAAGGCATTAGAGGAGTGAATATTTTTCTAGAGTTCGTTTCTGGTTGCACTTCAGCTCTACACTTATTAGTTGATGTAGTATTGTAATTTCATTTAAAATTAAGTGCCATAGAATTAAACCAATAATGTAAAATGATTTCTGACGTTTGAAAATTTCTCCAAAATTTTCAGCAAGTATCAGTTAATCCTGACTTTGTTTCTTGTGAAGACATGAAAAAAAAGCTTTGGGGTTTCCATGGCTTGCTTCCTTGTTAAGGTAGCAGAAGGACAGGCAAAAACTGAGGTAAGGACTTCTCCTTGAGACAAGGGGGGCATGGACTCCCCAGGCCTTGCATTCAGATAGAGAGGTGGACAAGGCCTATGCTGAACTGCAGTAGCCTGCCTTGAAGCCATGAACAAACTCTTTGGGCCATATAAGTATAGGCGATGCGGTTAAGTTCTTTACCGCCTTGCACCTGGAACTACTTGGAAAGCTACAATCCCAGAAAAAATGTGTGAGACAAATCTGCTCTCCCATAGATTGAACCTAATTCTTGGGAAGGAAGTTCTGTACTCACTGTCCTTCTGGTGCCACCGCACAGCATGTAAGTGAACGCCGCAGTAATGAAACAGGAACTCGTGCTCTGAGTGATCAACTGTTCCTCGCAGTAAAGGCATCAGATCCTGGCCGTCAATTACCCTAGCAGAAAAAATGGAGACCGTCAGAGTGGGGTAAGCTGTATAGGACTGCGTTCCCCCTGCGCACCTCTTGCTGGAACTGGCAACTCTGAACGAGGAAGGTGCTTGTAGAAGATTGCAGGTAGGTGCTGGATCTGAAAAGTAGAGAAAAGGTGACTGAGCTGTGGTAACATAACATTGATGTGTCTAGAAAAGGAGCAGGGGTGAAAAAGAAAATGTTAGACTCAGAATGTGTTTCCAGACTAGATTTTCCATTGTCTTGGGAGACAAGGAGAAATAAAGACACTTGTGTTTGTACCTGTCCTGGGGTAACACCCCTCCAGCCAGATGAACTACTGTAGGATAAATGTCCATGAGGCTTGTAGGTTCATCAATGACTGTGCCGGCAGGTAACACCCCTGGCCATCTAAATATCCCTGGGACTCGGATTCCTCCTTCCCAGCCTCCCATAGCTTTTCCACCTTTCATAAAAAAAAATTAATACATTTTTATTAAAATAAATGTTTCATTTAAAACAGAAATTTTAGACAAATATTATTGTATTATTATAAGCTGTCTAATGTTACCTTTATGACCCTTCCTTACCCTTTTGTTTTTACCGCTAAGCTCCTTCTCCTCGGCATCAGTGAAAGTGTGTTCACTATATCAGACCCCTCGACTGACCTTATATACTTACTCCCTTCTATCGTTTTACAGACACATTGCCCCATCAGAACTCAGTGTGAATAAAATTTTCAGGCATAAAGTGATTTCCCAGCCTAGGTCTCCTCTCTTTTTTACCATCCTGTAACATACCTATTGTAGTTAAGGCAAGGCTTCAAATGTAGATGCAACTAATATTTAATGAGAAGTTACACATGATTAATCAAAATTAGCTTGTGATCAGTTGCCTCATGAGGAAATGCCAGTTTGAGAATTCATGCTTATAAAGAACATGATAGAATTGTCTAAAATTTTTAAATGCCTAACTAGAATGAGACAAATTTGCTTCTCGGTGACTGTTACTCCTTGAGCGTGCAGTCTTATTTAAGCTTTAGGGGTGTCCCGCGTACTTCACTAGTTGTTGCTGGGTTGTCACCGTCCCTGACAGCTCTTACCTCTGTATATTCCATTCCAGCCACCCAGCTGCCTTTTGCCTTCTTGTCTTTCCAGCCATCCACCATGATCAGAGGCAAAGTAAACTAGTGTAGTATTTTTCAAGCCTTCCTTGTCAATAGCATCTAGAACCTGGCCTGTAAACACAGGAATATGTGTGTATTAAAAAGCAAAAATATTGTTTACACTACATAAATTTTAGCTTCTGACTAGTAAACATTCATCAATGTAATTTCTTATCTATGTAGGGCTGCTCATTGTTTAAAAGAAGAGTTTTTTAGGATCAAGATTTGTAGTTGTGATTTCACTGTCTGTAAAGGAAAATTGTGATGTGCTGATGTGTGTGTTATTAGTATTATAACAAAGGAGTGCAAGAACCACAGTCACAGAAGCCTGTATTGTAAAGGGCAGAAGTGCCACGTACTGTAAAAATATGGAAAGAAGCATGATCCAAGGCCCCAAAAAAGTTAGATTCTGCATCAGTGATGTCATCATGAGAAATGAGGAAAAAATGTCATGTACCCTTATCTTACATTGTCTAGACCACAGTTAGTGTTTGCATTAAATTACTGGCTGGATATAATATATATTAATAACATAGTGCTTCTTTATTTAGAAGTTGTTCTTGAGCTGTTTCTGATGTTCTTAATTATATTTGTGGTGTGTAAGTGTTTAACAGGTAGGTTTGAAAACCAATTCTTTCTGTATGTGTACCTGATTCTTATCCCTTTTGCAAATGTGGCTACTTTTCCTCCGCCATGACTGGGTGATAAATAATTCTTCTTCCCCTCCAAAAAACAGGCTGAAAAATAACATGAATCTAATTTCTGGGGGCATACAAATTAATATTTACAAACATTTCTGGATTTGTGAATGGGGCTGAAAAATATTCAGTACTCTGCTGAATGCAGCAGTCACCGAGAAATAGCCTGCTGGTTTACACCTGGAATTAATTTGCTTATCAGTTTTATCACCTTCTGATGTGTCCTACTTAGAAATAGATAAGACATGACCATAAGAGGCTGAAATTACCTGACCTTTAATAATCACAGAAAACTAAATAATTCTCACTTCATGTAGTATTTATTAAGAAGAACAGAAGACCTCCTTGACAGGAGCCAAGGGGACATGGTTAAAACTGGTAAACACTAGACCAAAAAACTGAGTGAACAGAAAGATTTGTTTGGTCCAAGACTGGAGAAAATAAAAAGCCAACACTATCCTCATCCTCGTGGATGAGGGAAAGGCTGTGG